CCTTTCCGCTGAGTATTTGCTTCGCTGCCGATCTTTGGTATTGACCCAAGCGGAGTAGAGCGGAGAATCGAAATTCTTGAATTGCGCTGCTGCCTGTGCTGTTGTCACTGACGTGCTAATAGAATGCATTATTGCATTATTATGACGTCAATGAAACGTCGTCTCCTCTTGACGACACATCCCGTGATTATCATTCGTATACTTCAGAATCAATGTAAATATGAATTCGTGGTTGCCGATCCACTCGCTAGTGGATGGAGCTCTCTTTTCTGACCCCCCCCCTCCGCCCTCCCCCGAAGGATACTCCAAGGCTGCTGTCATAATTTGTGACAGCGTCCACCAGCGTCCACCACGACCACCAAAGTCAGCGACTAAGAAATATGGACATCAATCTAGTCAACGGCAGCGTATCTCGGCGTCTGCCAGCGTCCGTTGGCGAGCATCAACGTATCGAAGGACTGTTAAAGTATGGATATCCATCTAGCTTCTACCCCAACCAGCAACCGCCAGGAGTGGAGAGTATGGTTGCGCTCTGCCGTCGCACATGCAACTTCACGACGCCTAATCCAACTGTCTGCTCCCTCCTACTTCCCCATACTCCCACTCCTGGTCGCTGGTGGACGCGGTGATGCTGGTAAACGCTAGATTGATATCCAAAGTTTCCTAGTCCCTCGAGACGCAGATGGTCGCTGACGGACGCTGGTGAACGCTGGTAGATGCTACCGTTCGCCTAATCGATATCTGTACTCTTCCAGTCGCTAACATTGACGGACGCGCGAAGCGCTGATGGTTGCTGGTGGACGCTGCCGCAAAGTATGAACGCAGCCCAAATGGGGTCACTGAAATAGACAAGTATCCGAAGAAGTAATCCATTATTATGTGGGCGGAAAATCATAGGCAAGGGACGGGAGAGCAGGAAGACGAGCTGGAAGGTGAACCTTATGTCAGAGAACGATCCCACCCATAACGGCCGCACCAACCATACCGTTTATAAAAATGGGAGTACCTTCATAGCTCTTTCTGAAAAGGCAGATTTCACGAGTATGATCCTTCAAATTAACAATGGCGCCCTCGCTACCCACGGAAAAGGGCGGAAAAGACATAAGTCTTGAGAATGCGGAACGGAGTACTTTTGCAAGGAGGAGATTCCACTTATCAGGGAATGGCGGAATGTGTTTCTAAGTCTGGTCACACCTGGCTTCGAGTATGGTACCGTAGCTTTCTGGCACTGGTAGCTTCTCCATAGAGACGCATGACTGCTACGCGCAAGAGCTATATCGGAGAACGTCTTACACAAAGCCGCACCGGCATATGCACTGTCCAGGATAGAAATTCTATTCGTGAGGCAATCACGCAATATACTTCTTTAAAAAGTAACTCTCTTGACCGCCACCCTATGCTACCTCAGCGCCTGTACTGACCGTAATTCCGCATCCGTATGTCATTACACGGCTTACCGACAATGACACAGCCAAAAGCACGCACTACTGCTTACGAACGGTAGCAGGCTGTGATTTGAGCTGGCGGTCGGGTGATTGCAAAGTGTGCCTGTGCGACGTGGACGCTGGGACGTACAAATTATACAGTTTACCGCAAATACCGTGATCTAATCAAAAGACTGTCACCTGTAAGCTCCATTTTCATCAGAAGCGTCAATTATAGATGAATTCAATGCCATAAGACATTTCCCAAGATAAAGATCCTCAGCAGGGACGGGCTGGTCACAAACAGGGTCGTATTCAAATCCGAGTGCTCCCAGTCTGAAATCAATCAGTTCAGTTTAGTCATGCCTTACTACTTGTGAGGTATAAAATGCCTTGACCTTAGCACGGCTTCCCGGCTAAGTACGTATCCGGATCCACCGCTGTGGTAGTTAAATCCATTTTTTGAGTACTGATGACCAAATGCTAATGGTTCTTCTGGTGAGTAGCCCTAACGAAAAAGAAAATGGAGAGAGACTTGCATCTTTTATTCACTTCACAGACACCTGAAACTTGAGAAGAAGATATAGCGCTAACCTTCAGAAAATGCCTTAGATTCGGCATGTGAAAGTAGGTGTCGTCATCTGCTTTGACAAACCAATCGTAATCGTGCTAGAAATGGCTCAGTATTGATAAGAATCAATTATGTATGTGGTAGTGGCAGCGATACTAATCGCGTCACACCATTTCCATTACTCTTTATAGTAGATTCCGCGATGGCCGGATGGGCGGGGACTGACAGTCATTGCACTGCCCAGGTTGGTGTGCCAATACCTCTATGAGGGTGAAGAGGAGAGGTTCGCCAATAAGGAAGACGCATTCGTTACGAGTCTCCGTCTACTTGGTCGCTTATTTGAATATCGCGGAAAATGTTTCGAAGACCTTGTTCGGTGAAGGTTGGCCCAGCCCTTGCGTCGATGGATTTACATGACATGGAATCCACTTGAATAGATTGAAATCTGTGTACTATGAC